AGCGACAGGGTGGAGTGTGGCCTTCCTTGAGCCACCCTATGAGTAAGAATCGTGGGCTAACCAGGAACAGAATGAGGGAAGATCTTGCACAGCTGGAACACGGGCATCAAGAAAAAGACAATTCTGCAAGACTCGCCACCAGACGGCACAATATCCGGGTTCAGGTGGGGCTGGCCAGCCTGTGCCTCCACGAAGAGCGTAAAGGAAGAAAACCCAGCTGGGTGACTCCGGCCTTTTGTTGTTCATTTTTCTCTTCACAGACTGTCAACGACATGGAGAGGGTTTAAATTTTCCACACTGGGGGAGGGTCCAATGGCACAGTGACAGCCTGCTGCGGGCTGTCTCAGCTTTAGGAGGGGGTGTCTCTGAGACGGTGAGCCCGCCAGGTGACTCTAGCCTGACCTGTGAGAACACACTCACCTGGGGAGTCTAGAATCAGGATCTCTCACTGACTTTATCTAGAAAAGGAATGGAAGATTTCCCTGCATGTTCTTTTTAAGCCCAAAACACAGCTGTATTTCCCAGTTCTTTTTTTTTTTTATGGATGTTCATTGGCCTTACATTTGGCAGAGGGCTCTGTGGGCAAAGAAGTTTAGACGTGTAGATGGAGTAGCGGATGGAATCGTCTCTTCTGTTTAACTGCAGGAGGCCTCAGAGCCTTCAGTCCACTTAGGCGCACTGTGGTCTCTAAGACAGTGATTCAGTGAGCGCCATTCTCTGTGTGTGTTTGACCACATTTTAATTTTTTTTTTTTACCAGAACATCTTGGGAGACGCCAGAAGCGCTGAGATTGAGTTGCTTTGTCCTAAAAAAAACTCCTCAAGACATAAGGTAAATTGTCAAAGGTTTCACCTACCAGGGAGAGAAAGTCAGTTGGGATCACAGTAGAAACTATGAATCATAAGATATATGTAAAGAATGGAGCTTATGACTTTAAATTGAGGACTTCCTTGCTCAACCTGGCCTGCTGGTTACTGCTCCTGACTCTGGCTCAGGTCACCCTGAACCTTCTGCTTCGTTGCCCCTTCCTCCACCTCCCCGGCCCCGAATCCTAGGTCCGTCTCAAAGGCAACCCCTCCATGGGGCCGTCCTGAATCCTCCTTAATCTTTCCCTATGAACTTCCACAGCTTGGTACCCAGCCCCTCCCAGACAGACCTTCCTTCTTTACAGTGGTGCCGGCATTTCTCAACACACAGGGAAAGTTTGTACGGTCAGGTTTGTAGCCTACGTGGGCCCAGCGCGGTGGCGTGGGGCCCGTGCGGCCACGGAGCGCCGGGGCTTCGGCCTCAGGCTCCCCCTGCTCGCCGGCTGGGTGACTCTGGGTGGGCCACCCTGGCTCTAAGTCTCAGTTTCTGCATCTGTAAAGTGGGGACAATAGACAGCCCACATTACAGGGCAGTTGGGAGGCCAAGATAATGCAGAAGCCAGGCAGGGAACGAGCCTTCCCCCGTTAGGGGCTGTGACTGTCGTCATCCCCGTCAGGACAGACGGCAGTGCCTCTCTCCTGGGGAGCGACCAGGCTCGCAGCCATGAGAGGAGGCTAAGAAAGGGACGCTGGGTCTCTAAGGCGCTGGCTTAACAAAAAAAAAAACAAAACAACAACAAAAACAAACAAAAAAAAAAACACCCAAAAGAATGAGGTACAATTAGCAGAGTGGTAGTTGGAGGTAATAGGCCTTTAAAATACTTAAATAGCCTAAATGTGTCACCTCTAATCTTGTTTACATGGTCAATTTGCTTAACCAACTCTTCCTCTGTCACTTGTCCTGTCTTAATGGTCACAATCCTGAACTAGGTGGGGCCCAGTGCAGTAGCTGTTGCTGTCGCGATGAAGAGGAGGAGGAATGCAATGCTCCTGAGAGCCTTACGTGCAATTCCAGCACCCACCTGTGTCCTTTCTTATAGAAGTGGGGTTTAGAAAACGACAGATGAAGCCATTCTTTTGTTCTAGTTCTAGGAGCCCTCCGTCAGGCTGTCACTTTCCTCAGGGGAGACCCGGGGCCCCAGGCAGGCTCCCCGGAATGGACCGCGCGGTGCACTGGTGGCTGCTGGGGCCGTGTGCAGAGGGTGCGCCGGCACCCTGCAGGGGAGGGTCGGGGTGGGCGTGCAGTGGGCAGGGGCCAGGAAGGATGGCGTCAGAGCTGACTCTCATTTCTCTACTCATCCCTCCTCCACGGCCACCTCCCAAAAGTGGGGACGTTTGGTCCATGGCAGTGTTGGAAGACCAAAAACCACCGGAATTCTCTCTCGTGGACACGTGCTCAGTCAGAAGGAAAAGGAGGTGTTGTCCACAACAGCAGACCCACACGGTGTGTTCCTGGGTGAGCCCTCAACCTCTCCAAGATCTGCAGCTGCGTATTAGGAACGGGACAGGGACGCGGCTGGGGAGCAGAAGTCGGGGACCATCTCTGTACTGTTGGAATCTGTGCAGACTTGGGTTAGCAATGCCCTGGGTGGGGCGGGGGGGGGGTGGTAAGTGCACAAACTTTGCATGTGTCCCTGTCTTGAAGCCATTTCATCATCACTTACACACACACCCCCGCCCACCATGACCAGATGTTCCCTAAATCCAGGAGGTTCTAAAATCAGGGCCAAGTCCCCGTCTTCTGTCCCTCCTTTCTTCCTCCTCAGTCGCCTCCTCACTTCAGACACTGCTGGCCAGTGATACGACTGCCGACCTTCCCAGAGACGGTTCTTTTTTTGTTTTTTTAATTCGTTTTATCCTCACCCAAGGACATTTTGTTTGTCATTGCTCTTAGAGGGAGAGGAAGGGAGAAAGAGAGACATCGATGCCAGAGAGAGGCACCGACTGGATGCCCCCCATACGCACCCGGACCAAGATCGCACATGCTCACACCGGGACCAGGGGCCAATCTGCAGCCCAGGTACGTGACCCTGCCTGGGAATCGAACACACCCCCTTTCCGTTACAGGATGGCGCTCCAACCAACTGAGCCACACCAGGCAGACCCATTTCTTCTCAAGCACCACCTCTCAGCTGTTGATTACAAACCCCATTACACCTTGTTCCTGACATCTAATCCATGTTCAGCAAAGGTTGTGACTGGCAGCTCAACTACAGCAGGCTTCTGCGTTCCATATGTTTTATCCTTCTTTAAAACCCATTATCAGTTATGTTCACTTAAGCATTATATCCCTAGTTTGTTAGCTAGAGGCATATGGAGGGTGACAAAGCATTATTTTTAGCTAAAAAAGTCAGGCTTGCATGAATGGATGATACTGCTTTGTGGAGGTGGGCATTTCCTAACATGAATAATATTGCCAGAGCTGTAGCTCCACGGTCAGATTATCTTCCTCTTCCCTCTAAGAAGAGGGCTGTGCCAGCGTATCCTCGCGGGAGGGGCGTAGGCATGCCTTGCTGGGCACAGACTTGCGCTGCGCTGGGCAGGTCTGCCAGCAGGTTTCTCAGAGGTACTGTGCCTAGCCCTTCTGGAGTCAGACAGGCATAGTGATTGGAAGCTCAGGTTCTGGAGTCACAGGTTGTGGGTTCATTTTGGCTCCGCCAGTCCTAGCTGTGTGACCTTGAGCAAATTGGGCCTTAATTTCCCCCCATCTGTACAGTGGAGGTAGTACTGACTTCATAGGGTTTTCAGGAGAATCGATATAAGGTTACATCAATGTAAGTGTCTGGCACAGAATACATGTGCATGGAAGTATAAATAAATATCCATGTACTTATCCATCAGAAACAGGGCTAAGAAGTCCCGAACTGGCCCGCAGACCTCCATTAATGAAGGTGAGCCACCACAGGAAGGCACATGGGGAGCAGCGTGCACCAGGCATTAGGGGCACAGACGCTGCTGAGTTTATCTTCATCCCCCTGTTTACTGGCTGGGCCTGTGGGCAGGTCCTGACTCTCCTTGCACTTCAGTGTTACCCTCTGCACAGCGGAGACCCTATCAGTCCTCCTGTTTCAACAGGAAGTTGTGAGGACGAAGATAAAGCATGCTCAGTGCTTAGCGCAGTTTCCTCTTCAGGGTTCAATAAATGGTAGATTATTTTATTGATACTTTCCCTGCCAGCCATCTTAGGCATCCTGAACACATCCTTTCCCCCCCTCCCCTTTGAGTAATAAAGTGCTTGGGAGATGGAAAGAGAAGATGAATTTTTGAGCCTGAGTTTCAAACCAGCTTCGGCCACACCAGCTGTTGGAAGCCACGCACTGAGATTGCCTCCCCACACTTTCATTTTCTCATCTGTAAAGTAGGGGCTGCGAGCACCTATCACCCAGCCCTGCTGTGGGAGAATGAACGAGGTCACGTGGGTCAGCACCACAACACAACGCCAGCATGTAAGAAAAATGCACGAAAGGGTAGACCTATTTTAAAAGTGTGGGGATTTTTTTTTGTTCCCAGTGAACAAAAAGGTCATTTCAACTCTTGGTGACTACTGTTTTCTATATCCCAAGATGGGGAAGAGCTGGAACAAGTTTAATAGGAGCCTGAATCCTCTAGTGGTGTTCTGAGGTTTCTAGTGGACAGAATCAGTCTCGGGCATCTCTGATGCCCCAGTGTCAGGCTCGGATCGGGCCGTGGCTCCCTCCTCCCCGTCACCGGCCGCACACACGTTCACTCTGACACAGCCAACAGGAAGGGAAGGTTGAGTGACCTACTTCAGGAGAACGTCAGTCCCGGGAGAGACCCTGCAGTGGAGAACTTGCTAGAGTCCACAAAAGACTGGTCTGAATATGGCGACCACAGGGAATGAGAGGGGAGAAAAGAGAAACGATGGCATTAGTGAGCAGAACGTTCTCAAGCACATCTCTGGCCCGAGCAGAAGTGCTGAAGCTGGAAAGAGGAGCGCTCAGGCCACACCAGAGAGGCGGGGCGGGGAGGGCCGGGGCGAGGAGCGTGGGAGCACAGAAGAGCCCGAGAGCTGAGGGCGGAGAGAAGCAGGCAGGCCCACGCTACGCCCGGCGGCAGAGGCGCACCTGCTTTAGGCCCTGGGAGGGGCTGGCGCCCGGTCGGACTGGGGCTCACCTTGCAGGCTGTTCCCGTTGGTGCTGGTGCAGGTGGGAGGTGGAGAGGTCTGGGGTCTGACGACTGGTGCGAACGCACTCTTCTGTTTCACGGCTGAGACCATGTTGGCTGGTGAGAAGGAGAAGATGCCAGAGGAGCTGCTGCAGTTGGAGGGGAGGCTTGTGGAAGAGGCCATGGTGGGGCTGGATGGCACGACTGGGAGGGGCAATGGGAAAGCAGGAGTCAGCACCTCCCCTGGCATCCCAGCGCACGGGGCTGGGCCCCGCCCCTCCCCGCCTCCCGGCTCGGGCCCCGCCCCCCGCCTTCGTGAAGGCTCTCGGCCGCTTTCCTCATTTGGTATTTGGCACGTGCTACCTTTTTTTGGTGGCAATCCTCTCTGTGTTTATTGTGGATCGACTATGTGCCTGGAGCATGCTGGGCGCTAAGGCGGCCCCGGCCAGGAAACACAGTGCTCTTAAAAAGGGAGAGAGTAGCACAGAATGAAAACAACCGTGAACATGGCCCCACTCTGAAAGCAGGGAAGGGAAACCAGAGGGGGCTTCACAGAGGAGGCGTCAGGGAAAGCATTCCAGGTGGGGGCTAATCTAAGGTTCTCGCAAAGGGGCCAGGGGTATGAGATAGGAGGCCAGCCTGAGACAGCATGGCCCCCAGTGCAATGAGAGGTATGAGGGAGAAGGGCGACTGACGGCTTGGCAGTTGGTGGTGCAGATGCGTCCCTTTTCTCCCCATGAGGTTGTGAGTTCCTTAAGGACATGAGAGGACCTTAATGCTGCACAACCCAGGTGGGTGGGTGGGAGGCAAAGTGGATAAACAGACTGGCACACACGGCATTTGCGGCGAGTGCAGAACTGCAAGCCAGAGTTGCAAACTCCTTATAGCCCCCGTGGAGCAGATGCATGCGCATTAATAAGCAGTAGGATGGGAGCCTTCGGTGGGTACTCACCGTCTGGCGGGGATGGGGATTATCAGTGAGGGGAGAACTAACTTTGGCAATTCACAGAGAAAGGATACCTAGGTGCTTGTGGGTGTGAAAGAGCCTGGGAGACGTAGCTTCTCTACCCGCCATGGTCCACTCAGCCTGGCTTTTCATCTTTTGCTAATTACTAATAATCTCTTGGTTACTTTAGGAGACAGATTTTGCACACACTAAGTCCTCTACTCTCAAGGCTAGTATTTTCATCCACTCACCTTCTAGCTCCGCCATCTCCTGGGGAACAGTATCAATGCTGTCCAGTGATTCCCAGGTACTTAATTCAAACTCTAGGTACTTCCTTCTACTGCATTATTTTCCACATTACATTCTGAACATTATATATTGCTTTATCATTCACAAGAATCTTCACATCTTTCTCCTCTTATGCCATTATTGGCCAAGCAAGCTTAAGTTGGGGCCAATTACATCCTTTTACACCTGATCAAACGGAAACTCAGAAAACAGTTGAGTGAGTTGCCCAAGAGTCACGGCTAGAATGGGGGAGCCAGGAACCAAACCCCAAATCGGTGCTCTTTCTACCACACTCCCCTGCAAAGGAAAACGAGAACCAGGGGAGAAGTGCCCCCCTCCCCGGCCACTGTGAGCCCACCAGAGTCCCAAAGTCTGTTTAGGTGGCCTCGTCATTGGCCTACTGATGTTAGAAAGGCAAGGAAGTGGGAATCAGGTCAGCCACAGGCAGCCGCAGCCACTGCCACTGGGGGAAGGGACCCCTGGCAACCGGTTCTCAGCGGTACACAATCGAAGCCCACCGAACACTCCACAAAGCACAACACAGGGCCGTCATCCTCCGAGTTTTCACAAACATTTTCTACACTGTACTTTTCCTTTTAATGAGGCAGCATTTTTATACCTCTCTTAGGATTTGTAAATGTGAAAATACGCTCAATAATAATATCCATTTAAATTGCATACCTCCTGCACTGGAGGTTTGATTTTTAAATATTCGTTGACTTGAAATCCTGCTGGTTCACTGAGGAAGGCAATTAATCTCCTTGGCAAACGTGATCATGATGTGTATTTAGAGGCGGGGCGTTTGGAGGGGCTGGGGAACAGAGGAAGGGGTGAAATACAGTCGAGCAGTTCCATTTGTTACAACATTATTAGTTATCAGCCACCACTCCAGAAAGTGTGTTCACCAGTGGAATGTCTTATTTTTTTATTCTGTGAGGGATTTTTCAACATGAGTGGTTTATGAATAATTAAATATTATGGAGGCAAAAATTTCAAATCAGCTGGGCCTTATGTTTATTGTTTTATTTGCATTTATGCAGATGAAACTGTCCCATCTGAGAGCCTGTTTGAGAATTTAATACTATATTCGTGAGCACTGAGGAAATCAATTAATGGAAATTAAATGTTCAAAGTTTCACAGGCTGACAGATGCAATCTCAGGCTGAAGTTGCCCGGTGTCTGCAAGGGCTTGAGAAGAGAGAACAATCCAAGCCCTTAAATTGAATTGCTACCATATAGCAATTAGTTTATTGATTTAATTAAGAATGCCACCTTTTAATTTTCAGGTCATGATTGAAACATTTTCTGATTGAGTAGATGGGAGGCCACTGAAATGATGGATCTATGAGAAACAATCTTCCCATGAATCAAAATCTTGGTGGAACTGGCCCCAAACATGGACCCTTGAGCAGAGAGACCTGTAAGCAGATTATTGGAGGTGGGGGGTTGGCGGGTGGTATTTGAAATGTTCAACCAGCTGCTGATTCCAAACAAAGTAGAAATATAAAAATTCAGCGCACACTGAGCACAAAAACTCGCCCAGAAAGCAAAAGGCCCTACGAATTGCTTTCAGAAATCACTTCTTTCGAGGGCCGAGCCCGAGCTCTCCTCTGCCAGGGCTAGGACCGTTCACATTTCCTTTACTAGAGACAGCATAACTTTCAGCGTCTTTAGCCTTTTTTTTTTTTTTAAATCAGGAATAGTCTTTCATTTAACAATACATCTGCTATCCTTCTATCAGTGTCTAAGCGTTCGGGTGCATTCTACACACGAGAAGAGTCGCCCACACTGTCCAAGGTGAACTTGGTTACCTGTGTAACACTCCTCAGAGGCAGATCAAGAGATTGTAGAGACATGTGACATTTTACACGCAAAGATGCCAGTTAACTGAGGTTCTCTAAGTGCAATCTAAATGTGGTACCCCCAAAAATTTTAAGCTGAACTTCTTTAAGACAGACATTGGCACCAAAGCACATTTCGTGTGTGTGTGTTCGTTGTGCTAGATTTTTGCAAAAAAATAAAGTGTATTTTTCCCATGGCTGTTTTGTTGTGTTTTTTTTTTTTAAATACCAAACACAAAGGGGAAAAGTTCCCAATTTTAAGCATTAAAAAAAAAACACCCAAAGGAGCCGTATTCCTGAAGGGGGAGAGTTTGAGGTTTAGACAGTGGCACTGTGCTCTGCTACCGGCACTGCTTACTGTGGTCATTCCAGCTCCATGGCTGGTACTAGGTTTAGCCGCTGTTTCTCTCATGGGCGAGGGACCAAGACAAGCTCACTACATGCATTATTTGATCAAAGTCTCACAACTCCTCTATGGGGGAAGGGAGGCTGTCCCTTCCCATTTTACTGATGAGAAAACCGAAGCTTGGAGAGGAGAAGAGCTTGCCTGGGGCCGCGCAGGTTGTGACCCATCTCCACCTGACAAGCTTGGGTTCTTGAGATGATTTCACATGCTGCTTTGAGCTACAGCGAAGTTCTAACCGTCAGGGAGGCTTTGGGGGAAGGAAGGTGAGCCAGGGAGGGCAGCAATTTCTGCTGGATGATGCTGCCTTCAGTACTATCACCCAGGTCAGCGCCGGGCAGGGTGGGGGCGCGGGCGCGGGAACGATGCTGAGTGCTCTGCCTGAGCGCGCGCAAAATGGCAGGATACGCGTCTCTACTTACTGGCGTAGGGCGAGTTGGCAGCTGAGCCGTTGAGGAAGGTTGGGGAGCCACCCAAATTGGACATGGCGGCCGTGCCGTATCCATTCATGCTCGTGGTGACGGAGTTATAGTTGGTCTGCTGCGGGGTGGTGCTCGGCACGTACCCGTGTGGCGACACGCTGCTTGAGTTGCGGGTGAAACCTGAGCAGTGGGCACAGAACCGGGGGTGAGGGCAGCGCCCCGAGGGGTGGCAGTCCTGGAAGGCGGGGGCAGGGAAGGGCTCCATCTCCTGGCCCCTCACGGCGCCCCGGAGGGAAGGGGTCGGGTGATTGATGGGCGGGGGCTGGTGGCACGAGCTCTGTGATTAAAATGGGAAGCGAGCACAAGGCACGTTTCTTAGGAGATCATAAATACTTAGCAGGCCGTGAGAGGTGGCAATGCAGGGCCTATAAATTATCATTTTGGAGCAGAAATAAATCCCAATCTAGGAGCCATACCCTGAAGCTAACAGGTTTCTGTTCCCTGGGCGAGGGTGATGGGCTCTGGCCCCTCGGAACTTTAATTCCAGCCGCCTTTGCCATCTGCCATTCGTGGTCTACGCTGAGAAGCCTAGTGGCAGAGGGCCCCATGTGCCCATCTTTGTAGCCCATTCTACCAGAGCACCAGGCAGAACAGCCAGAACTGAACGCTACAAGAGCATGTGATGTGCACTGACTAGGGGTCTCCCCTTTTGAGGAAAAAACATTAAATACAAATTGTTTGGGGCCAAATAATGGGAGGGTAGTAGCTCAAGGTTAGGGAGGGACAGGGGAGTGGGGGTGGAGGAGAGCAGACTCCTGACCCTGATTGGTGGCCTGCGACGCCTCCGAGACATTCACGGCCAGCTGTCCACTGAAGGAATTCACGCCCATCATTCCCGCGTGGACCGAAGTGTTGGTGAGGGCCGGGAGCTGGCTGTGGTTGCGGGGGACGCTGTACAGGGCCTCGGCGATGTCAGCCGCTCTCTTCAGAATGATTTCCTGAAAAGGAGACGGAAAACCCCCTTGAGCCGCCCAGTCACACTCCCGGGAGCCCCGCTGTCCAATGGCTCCCTGCAGGCCGCGCTCCGCGCCTTCCGCGGCTGGCTGGCTGCGTTAACTTCTGTACCTCTCTTTGCAAGCCTTTGAGTTTAGCCTCATCAGCATCACGCCCTGTCACAAATGGGAGCATTGAGGGTCTTACAAGGGAAGCCCTCACTGGAGGAGACTCGCCTACTTAGGGACAGAGCTGGGCTGCAGGGCCCTGTTTGTCTGACTTTGGAAGCCCATTATTGAAGCTTTTCCTCCTGACCGCCCCGCGGTAAAGGACAGCACCATGGGGTGTTCCTTCCCTACCTGCGACACCCAGGAACTCTGGGATAGCCCCCCGCTCTCCCCTCCACACACAGGTGCTGCGACTCATCTCTCCTGCTGAAGTCAGGGACAGGCTGTAGAAAACTGTTTGTGTCCCTGAGTATTGGTGAGACCGTGTCCTCTGGACATTGGCTCAGGTGATACAAAGAAAGGAGTAATTTGTCACACTAGTTTCCTGAGCACCTGGCATACACGTGGACGTGCTCTAGGAAAGAGAAGCAGGGAACTATATTCCGATATTGTTATGCTTTTTAGGGGAATAAATTAAACCCCCTTTCTCCTCCTCAATTTGCTTCAAAACCTGAGAGGAATAAAATAAAACATGAGTAACTCTCTTCTTCCATGATGAAGTATGTTCCCCCAGAAGATTTCTTAAGGAAAATGATCCTGTAGAAAAGGCAATAAAATATTTACAAAAGAAGAGAGAAAATTGAATAACTTTGCAAATCTGCATGACTTAAACTCTGAACTCACATGAGCGGCTTTTCTATTTTTCATGCTTTTGCACCGCACTAAGGAATCTGAGATCCTCAGTCGAGCGCAGGAGCCCGCGCAGGTTCGAGACCCCACACGCTCACCTGGTTGTTGTGTGGCATCCCATACAGCGCCTCCACCAGGTCCGCGGCCCTTTTGAGGATGACCTCCTGTCAAGAGAAAAACAGGAACAGCCCTCTGAGTGAAGGAGGCAGGTTGTCCTTCCCATGACCACGCTGCAGTTCCGGCCACACTTTGCCAAGGCACTGCTTAACCCCGGAATGGCGTTAAATCACCAATTTATCCCTGCTCACACACACACTTAATCCAGTCAAAGGTGCGCATCATTGGTGCCGCAAGATAAAATACGCCCCTCCATCGCCCGCCATAGGCACGACGAAGCACTCATATGTTTATTGCCGAATACAATTGCGAGGTCATTTACTAGACGGCTACAATCGATGCCATTCAGTGCATGTTATGAATCCCTAAGATGTGTTTATTTTGCACTTAATTGCTTATTCCAGGAACCATGACCTTATCAGACAGGTCATTTTCTAGGGGTTTCCAATCAATCTTCCGCTACTAGAAACATGTAGCATTAAACTCCTTTTTTTTAATCTCCCTTGTGTGGCAGAGCCGTGATCTAAGGAGGTGATGCAGTGACCCCCACACACTGAGGAAATGCGCTGTTTGTCAAAGGCTCTTACGGAAGGTCTCTCCCTCACCAATTCCCATGACTGGCGGAGACTCTTTTAGAGTAATTCTTCTCTCTTTCAGTATTGTTCATCATTTTCCCCATTAGCTCATTCATTCGCCTCCTGGATGTGGGTTCTGCTGCTCATTCCAGTTGAGGAGAAAATACCACCCTCTTTTCCTTTAGGTGGGCTTCCCGATTTAGCTTGGGGCTTGTTTCTTGCACTATAGGGCACTCTACAAAAGTGTGTGCGGTGGTCATTTTCTTTTGTTCTTACCCAAAGCAGTCATTCCCTCTTCTTTCTGCCCTAATGTTCTGCAGAGCCATTTCCACTGGAATGTGAAAAGGAGAATGAAGCTCGATGCATGTCACTTGGAGGCTTGTCGGCGTACCAAACAGAGAGGTGTGTACGGTTATCAGAGGTGACTCGCAAAAAGATATGTTTACAATTTTTTGCTGGGGGCCAAAAAGAAGTTTCAGTGCAAATATTTGTACACAGTAGATTTCTGCGCAAAGAAGCAGTGCTGTTCAATGTTCATGTACTGGAGACGCCGATCAGAAAATAGGGACATAATTGCATTCATTTTGCCATTGCTGTAGCCTCTTCAAAAATTCTGGAACAACTCTTGAAATGACAAGCTTTTAGATACATATTAGCATTTCTCAATTTTCAGTTCTCCACAACAAAAAATAAAATAGTTGTCATATTGCAGTAACCACTTGTGACATATATAACGTCCTAAATTCAAAAATGAGATAGAGGGGTTTTCAGTTCTTATGAAACACTCATGCTTGCCTTAAGCTGCCAGACTCCATTTATAAAACAGTTCAGTTATTTTTCATAGCAGGAGTGGAAAGCATTATAGAATCAATGGAGTTTGAATCAATACATCTGAAATAATTTCTTTATTTTTCCAATGCAAGCTACCAGATAATTCACCACTTTTAGTTTGCAGTATTGTCTGACCACAGCAGTTAATAATTTACTAAGGTGCGGGCACACTGAACCCTACCCCCAGATCAAGTTCAGCCTCTGCCGCATTCGCTCAAACCTCCTGGCTTTGCCTGGCTCTCAGGAAAGATGAAAACAAACCAGGATCAAGATAGTTTACCTACTAAGATTTTATTTCTCTGGGCCTATGTTCATTTATTTCATCAAATAAATATTTATGCCAGTGTTTGGGCTAGACAGAAATAGTATCTTTATTCCTTTTTGTTTCGAGGGGAAAAAATGCAAGTCTCCTGTTTGCCCAAAGCAAGAGGAGGTGCAGTGTCCGCACCCATGAACTTCACTCCCGGAACACGGTCACTGAGGGCTTAGCGCAACGCTTCGTATTTTAATGAAGTTCACAGACCCAGGGAGGAGGGAAATGCAAACTACAGTCCAAGATCGCTTGCAAACCTGCAGTCCAAACCTGCAAAAGTTCCAGCTACCTACGTATGCTATACATTTTAATCTCACACATTTTTCAGTGATAAGGCATTGCAATGACTTCATCCACTTGTTTCTTTTTCTCCTTCTTTTGATACCGAGAGCCCTGGTCACCACTAATCCTTTGAAAATGACACCCTTGAATCTTGTTTCCTAACGTTGACTCCTTCCTTGATCCACGCTTTCCCACCAGGCACGTGGCCATCAGGGGGTCACCTGCCCAGCACCACTTCACACCTGAGCAGAGTGATGCCCTCAGGTTATCTCCCCCATTTCAAAATGTCTTCCCCTACAGTATCAACTTTGGGGTTTACCAGAGAGCCCACGTTTGGTTCTGCTTTGCCAATATGATTCAGCTCTATTAGTTATTTCCGCAGATGGGAAGGAGAAAGGAAATGCCTGGGTCCTCTATGAGGTAGTGCAACAGACCTGCAAGGTGCTTGGATATCGGTGACCAGAAAATTGCTCTCACCTCCATGTCATTACGCTCCCAGTGAACTAGCCCCCAAGCGTGTTTGTGTTGGGGATCTAATATATTGCCTTTCAATCAGAGCTGAGAGCCACTGAACACACAGACAGAACATGACGAGCAGGTCAGGAAAGCAATAAAGATTTTACAGAGCTGTCCAAGGTGCTAAATTTACTCAATAATGGGTTTGGCACCATAGTGTTAACCTCTCATTTACTACCAGTTTGAGGGACTAAATTGAAGTAGCTGACTTCATTTACCTTGAAATGTATATTTTATGACATTATGTAAGTAGATTGAAAGGGCACTGCAGTTTTAACAATTTAAAGGCTAAAGCATGTTTAAGATGAAACTTGAATATTTATTGTATATTGCACTTAAAGTATATAGAATGTTAAAATGTATTGATTAAATTTGTAAAAGGCATTATAAAAATGACAGGTAGTATAAAAGATGTATGCCTTTTAAAATCAAATTGATAGTGTATGCTATCTTTCCTATGGTCACAAGTGTAATTTTTTTGCAGTTTTATATGGTAATTTGAAAAATCTGTAATTTCACATTAGGAAATGATTGAGCCTGGGATGTGGAAAGAAAAAAAAAAGAAAGAAAGAAATTTCCCATAAGGGGAAGAGCTGGATGTTTCATATAATCTTTTGTCTCTGAAATTGTTCCTAAAGTCTTATGTTTTGTGGCATTAGAAGGGAGCATAGTATAAGGCTCCTTCCACTCTGATATGCAATTTTAATATTTCTGAAAAGAAAGAGCACTTGACTAGTACTAATATCTAATTTTTCAAGGCATTTATTTGTCAAGAGAGATTTCCTCCTCTTTTCATAATGTTTAAAACGTCTCCCTGCTTGCAGTTTAAAACATGAGGGTACAGATTAGATTCTTCCAAGATAATTAATCCTATCCTTGGATTTAAAAAAAAAATCCCATGGGGGAATTAAGAAGACAAATATTAGTACCCCGAATACTGAAAAGCCGGAGGGCCTCCTTACAGAGCTAGTGCTCGTTCTCAATCTACATCCTGAGTCAGATATTTTTCTTTTCATGGCCTTGGATCTCTTCTCTATCAAAGAAACCAAAAAATGTTTACTCCTTAAAAACAACAATGTTTCACTGATTTATTTCCTCTCCCAATTAAAGCCTGGTTTCACCTGTCTGGCCGTGACCATCAGTCGGTAACTATGTGAATGGGGGTCTGAAGGAAAAACCAGATACACCGTATGAACTCTGGGTTGAGTTTACAGAAACACCGAGAAGACTGAAGGACAAACGAGTTCCAAGGAACAGTCCCAGTGTCACTGTTCTGGGTCTTTTGTTTTGGAACCTTTATAGTAAAAATGCTGAGAAAGTACAAATACAGAGGGAAGAGTCAGCTCTACTTCCTGTGCTGCAGCCCAATCAATTAGCAAATAATTTTTGAGTTTCCCATTGCCCCATGGCCACACACAGACATGATCTCCAACACCTTTCAAGCCATGCTGTCCGCCCAGGGTCAAGGCTCAGGGTTCTACTGTGATTACTGAAGATCTCCCCTATCTGGTCCTACCCTCCTTATCCAAGCTATCACCCTGCGCACAGGAAGAACTGCTCTCTCTTCTGGTCTAGCCAGTTCTTCCCAGGCCAGAAGTAAAATGTCAGGCTCCTTCCTTTCTCCATACATTCACTCCTTCTGCCTTTCCATTATTTGGAATACTAGCTTCAATCCTGGAAATTCCCTTTCACCCTCTCGAGTTGGTGGCGGTGGTATAATAATGAAGATAACTATGGTATATAGACCGTGGGACATCAATGCAGTCAGTCTTCACAGAGAGTCTCTTAAGGTATTGTCTGCACCACCATTTGGCAGATGAGGAAACTGAGGCTCAGAGAGGCCTGCCAGCTTTCCCTGAGTTCACACAGCTGACGAGTGGCTGAGCGGGGACTCGACCTCAGGCCTGTCAGACACCAGAGCCCGCACTTCTGGAGATCACACTGTTCTGTCAGAAGCAAGTCCACCTTTCCTGACATCCTGGCTCCTCCTCTTACTCAGCCTCGGAAAAACAGCACTGACCACACCACCGAGCACAGCAGAGAAGGAGGTGCTGTGGTGTCACTTTGCCCTGATCTTGAGTATGTCAACGCTCACTTGCCACACTGGGCTATCAGTTCAAGGCCAGGGAGCTGTCTCACTCTCCTTCTCTAAGCTGCTAGCACCATGTTTGCCAAGTCAAAGGCCCTGAGGAATTCCTGTTGAAGAGTTTATTCGAAGATAGTTACTGATTGTTAAAAGTTCATGCTTAATTTACATGGGGCAATGACAAAGTCACATATTTGGCATGGTTTATGAAAGTGGAAGACTTCAAGTTGGCACTCCATTTGGCTCCAGACTTTTTAATCCAATATGTAAATTCCCAAAGGTTAAGTCTTGATCACTGGCGGGGGGGGGGGCTTTTATGGCCCTCCCTGTTTGTTTGTTTTTTTATGAATTCACTCTTTCACTCCTGCTGGCTTGTGCTTACATTTTAATTTTGTGATTAATATAATGAATCATGTTGGATACAGACATTATCTCAAGTTATAG